ACAACTGTTCAGGTGGAAGTAGTCGATAAAGGCTAGTAAAAACAAATGAACCGATTAAGTAATGTTAGATTGTAAGGGAAGGAAATGAAACACGTTTATAATGAAGATAAGATTAAGGGATGATAAGAAAGGGGTTGAAAATATAAACAAAGGGTGGTGTAGAAGTGATTAGTTGGTTATGTCTTAATAGGCCAAGGGAGGGATAATGGCTGTACGAACTTTTTTGAATACATAGTTTAGGTTTAATAGTTCGAATGCCTATCGCCTCAGCTGTGTGTAGTAGACGAATACGAAGTCTTTTGGAAAGATTTGGTGGGATACGATGAATCACTTTGAAGGCTCTCGTTTTCTCGATTACATGACCACTATCAATTAAGTGTGACAAAATTGAGCTACGAACTGTTTTAGTCTGTCCTTTGCCAAACCACGATGGGAGATGTTCACTAACACGTTGGCTAGGCTGTCTAGTAGTACGCCCAATATAACTGTCACCGCAGGTGCAGTTGAATTGATAAATGCACATAGATGTGGCCAAACTATCAAGCTTATCCTTCGTTTGCGTCCCAATCATTCGTTGGCTAGAGAATGACAAACATAGGTGTGCTGCATAAAATGTTCTTCGTATACTACTTGAAAGTCTTTGGAATAGAATTTCACTTGATAAGTCACCATTAAATTGTAACTTAATAAATAGAGGTTTCTTACGTGCAGTCAGAGTCTCCGGTTTTTTCTCCGATATTTTCATATGTTTCTTTATGAAGCTACTCGGATAGCCCATCTCCGTCAAGGAATCGTGAATATATTCAAATTCCTTTTGTAAGAGGTCATCTGTACACATCTTTCTTGCTCTGTTCGCAAGACATTTTACAACATTCCTTTTATATTTAATGGGCACGTAACTAAGGAAGTGTGTGTATTGCCCTGTGAAAGTGCTTTTTCTATACACGCTTCTCCCAAGTGACCCATCTTCTCTCCAACTTAGCAAGACATCCAGGAAATGTAGTTCATTCTCCTGCTCCTCTTCACAAGTAAAGGTAAGCGAAGGGTGGATGTTGTTGAATTTCAGCAACAATTCATCTATGTTAACATTCTCATCAGCTAAGATAAATGTATCATCGACATATCGGTAATACATATTAAACTCTTTGATGATGTCCTTCAATTTCCCGTTTTCAAGTTTTGCGAGGAAGAAGTCAGCTAATATCGGGCCTAATGGTGAACCCATAGCTATTCCATCTACTTGTCGATAGTATGAATTATTGAAGACAAAGTGAACATTCATTGTGCATTTAAGAAGTAATTCTTTGGGGCTACACAAGGGGATTCCTAAGTCTAATTGCCTTTCGGCGATTTCTTGACAGATATAATCTACTGTTTCCATTAGTGTTAGTGAACATCTCCCATCGTGGTTTGGCAAAGGACAGACTAAAACAGTTCGTAGCTCAATTTTGTCACACTTAATTGATAGTGGTCATGTAATCGAGAAAACGAGAGCCTTCAAAGTGATTCATCATATCCCACCAAATCTTTCCAAAAGACTTCGTATTCGTCTACTACACACAGCTGAGGCGATAGGCATTCGAACTATTAAACCTAAACTATGTATTCAAAAAAGTTCGTACAGCCATTATCCCTCCCTTGGCCTATTAAGACATAACCAACTAATCACTTCTACACCACCCTTTGTTTATATTTTCAACCCCTTTCTTATCATCCCTTAATCTTATCTTCATTATAAACGTGTTTCATTTCCTTCCCTTACAATCTAACATTACTTAATCGGTTCATTTGTTTTTACTAGCCTTTATCGACTACTTCCACCTGAACAGTTGTTTGTTTAATCATGCTGTTTTTCATTATTCGTATTATCACAGATTGCCTCACTTTTTCATCCTTATTATTGATAAGACCATTTTATTATTACTATTACTATTATTATTATTATTATTATTATTATTACTACTATTATGACTAATTGCACAATTTATATTCACCATCGTATTATCCTATAGACAAAACACCATGATTGGTTTATATTTGAATTTTTATTTGTAAACTTATATATATTAGAGTTAAGCCTGATGAGATCTAATTGAAAACAAGATTGTTATCAATATAAAACACCAAGTACGACTGTTAAAGTATGCTGACACACAGAACTACAGAAATTGACAAATGACTAAAGATGGATAGTTACAAGACCTGATACTAAACCGAGGGTAGTCCTCCTCGACAGAAATAATTACATTAAAAAGATGAATGATATACTGAGAGACAAACAGTGATAAAACAGGAAATGAAATAGCCAAAAGTTCAAAGAAACTATAGAGGGGAAGCACATACTTTCTGTAAGTGTATATGACGAAATCAGACCCACGGGGATATACACGGCCTACCTGAAAGTACACAAACTGGGAGTACCGTTAAGACCAAATCCAGACATCACTCATTATGGGTAGAGAAGCTCGTGGAGAGATGAATGAAAACAAAGAACTCTTCGCTGAATTCTGCACCTTCAATGAAGTAGTGATTGGTGGCAGCGTATACAAGCACAAGGATATCCACAAGGCTATATGGGTGTCACCAGATGGGCGAACCAAAAACCAAATCGACTTCATCTCAATAGTGCTCAAGGAAGCGGAGATGCAGCTTACTGGACACAAACGTAAGAAGAGGAGCAGACGTTGGCTAAGACCACTATCTCGTACAAGGAACATTCCAAATCAAATTAAAAACTTTCAAAGAAAAAGGGGCTGCAGATAGACCACAAGCCAAGTTCAATACTCAAAAGCTGAAGGATCACGATACAAAGAATATCTTCACTGCAACCATAAGGAAAAAGGCGGAGACACAAATCAACACTAGCGAAGTGATCAGCGTTGAAAAGCACTGGAACGACCTGGATACCGTGTGAAGCCACACCTGCATGGAAGTTCTAGGCAGAGAGAAGAGACAGGACAAACTGTGGCTCACTAAGGACACATAGACACTAAAAGAAGAGAGAAGGATGGTGAAACAAAGGATTCTCCAGTGCATCGAAGAGCAACAAAAACAGGAGTTGAATGCAAGCTACAATACACTGAACAAAAGAGTAAAGAAAAGTGTCAGGGAATACAAAAGACAATATTAGGAAGCTATGGCAAGTGAAGCAGAACAAGCTGCAGACAAATGAGACATCGCAACAGTCTACCAAACAACTAGGTTCCTATCGGGGCAGTTCAACACAAATTAAGCCAGTGAGGGATGACAATAGAAAGTCAATCACCAAAGAGGTGGAGGAAAGGAAACACTGGGCTGAAAGCTTCAAAAGACCTCCACCTACAACGCGCACAATAATACCAACGACGGAGACAGAGCTACCAGTGAACACCAACCCCCCGACGGAAACAGAAATCCTGAAGGCAATGAAGATGCTAAAAACTGGAAAAGCAGTAGGATCAAACGGAATCCCAGCAGAAGCATTGAAAATGGACCCAGAGACATCAGTGGACCTGATGACACCCCTACTGGAGGTGTGAAAAGAGGGCAAGATACCTAGGGATTGGAAGAAAGGCCACTTATTCAAACTGCTAAAGAAAGGAGACTTAAGTTAATGCAAGTGGTGCGGCATTATGCTCCTGTCCATCCCAAGCAAAATACTAAGCCGAATCATCCTGGAGAGAATCAAACACGCCCTGGATGAAAAACTTCGACCGGAACAGACTGGATTCAGGAGAAACAAGTCATGCATCAATCGAGTCGCAACACTACGTATCACCGTTGAACAGAGCTTTGAATGGCAATCAGCTCTCTATCTCAACTTCATTGACTTTGAAAAGGTCTTCGACAGCGTCGATCGAGAGGTGATTTGGAGACTACTTCGCTACTATGGGATGCCGCCAATAATTATACATCTCATCCAAAAGCTGTACGACAATGCTGCATGCCAAGTAATCCACAACGGGAAACTCACAGAATACTTCGAGATGAAGACGGGAGTAAGACAAGGCTGCCTACTGTCTCCAATGATTTTCCAGATTGCGGTAGACTGGATAATGCGACAGATATCGGGCGGCGAGGAAACAGGCATAAAATGGACCCACTCAAAAACTCGGAGGATCTGGACTTCGCCGATGATATATGTCTGATTTCCCACAAACTGGAAGATATGCAAGTGAAAAGCAACAAGTTGGCAGAAGAAGCATCAAAGATAGGACTTCAGCTGAACATAGAGAAAACAAAGGTGATGAAGATTCCTGACCAATAGAAAAAGCGACAACAACAGACAAAAATCAGCCAGCATGAATGGGAGAAATCTGAAAGAAACAACCTCCTTCACCTACCTACCTACCTACCTACCTACCCAACCTAACTGGGAAGCATCGTCTCAACTACAGGAGGACGGAACCGATGAGGATATGAAAGCGAGGATCGGGAAGGCAAGGCAAGCTTTCATTTCTCTCAAGTCTGTGTGGAGGTCAACAGCAATCAGCGTCAAAAATAAGATCCGGATTTTCAACTCCAATGTGAAGTCAGTGCTACTATACGGATCAGAGACTTGGCCAGCGCGTCATAAAGAGCATCTCAAACAAACTACAGACCTTCATTAACAGTTGTCTTCGCTCAATACCACTCAAGATCAGATGACCAGAAAAGATCAGCAATAGGGATGGATCTCTGGGAGCGAACCAACCAGGAACCGATTGTGCATCAAATATGCAGGAAGAAATGTAGGTGGATTGGCCATACTCTGAGAAAACCATCAAGTGACGTCACACGACAGGTTCTCGAGTGGAACCCGAACTGGAAGCGGCGAGTTTGTAGTCAGTGCGAGGGTGACATGGAGGAGGTCATGTGAAGAGGAGATGAAAGCATGTGGGCGGACGTAGAGCCAGGTGAAAACGTTGGCAGAGAACCGAACGCAATGGAGACGTGCGGCTGAAGCCCTATGTTCCTCTAGGAATTAAAGGAAATAATAATAACAATAATAATAATAATAAAAAATTTATGTAACTGCCTACTTGAGGTAGAACTGATAGTGAGCCACTGAAAAACCATGAGAATATGCGGAGTTTTTCAGCCACTTCCAGAAACGTCTCCTTGGTGAATAAATTCAAACAAGACAAGTACCAATAAAAATAAGGATTAGTATGGGAGAATACAAAATAAGTAAAAACAAATTGATCTAGTGGTAGTATGGATATATTCAGGTCAATTATGAAATATCATTATAGTTTTCAAGACGAATGTATATCGATCATAGCTTTGGAGATCAACCATCACAGCGGAACTGATTCATTTTGCTTGAGTGTTCAAAATTTACCCCTCGTTGATAGATGAAGACTTGAACCTTCTAAAGCATAGTAAATACAAACTACTGAGGGGCCCTAAATCAAAATAAAACAGTTCTTAAATGCCTAACCTCCTGACTCCCATTAGTCCTGCCAAGCATAGTAGCCACATAGGAAGAGTACACACCCTATGTCAGACCCGAACTCAATTCAACACGGATCACTATACCCAACCACTTATATAACACAGAAATCAGTAGTGTCTAACTATGTACACATACTGGTTTGCTTTCGTCAAATACATACGTGGTTTGGACAAGATTTTGATTGAAAATATGACCCATACGAAAAATACCGGTTGCAAAGTGTACGACATTGCACTTATGAATAACAAGTCGCCTATGCTAAAAAACGAAAACAGTGAGTTAGTAAGCCGTAGATTTTAAAGTAAAACAGTTGAGTTGATCGATATTATTTTAGAATTAAGTCACATAATGTAACAGAAATTTGTGTACACTGGGTTACTTCCCATGTCTTATTCGTTATATGGAATCTGACTACTGTGGTTAAACTGAAGTATAACAATTATCCATTAGATTAGTGGGTGTTGATTTAAAGTGTGAAGAGGATGTAAGGTGCGTGATGAGTGTATCTGCTGGTATGGTCAAATTACTCATCCACTGATCCCTAGCGGTACGTACACATCCGCTAACATACCTTGCTTCATTTAATAAATAAATGTGACTAATTTTTATTATAGGCATCTTTTTAGTGAGAACTTCTCATGTAGCAGGCTGTAGACTAGTTACCGTATGAAGTGGAGAGAAGTTTGAACCTACTGATTGAAAGTTGAGTGTTTGAACCGGTGAGCCATATCTTTACATGTTTATTTATTAGTATGTACACACAATGGGCCAAGCAACTCACTTTTAAAACAGAATTTGTTGAATTAAGCAGGAAGAAAAATGGTTCATCTGAATCTAGTTGTTTTATACGTTCTTCAAACTTCTGCTTTTCTTCAAAATGTTTTACTGCCGGTCTATAAAAGCAAAAAACAGTGAAACTTCCCGATAAAAATAAAACAAAGCGAAAGTATAAACCATAATGTTTAACTGCAAACCTATAATAAAACACTTGAAACAGATAATTCTTTTAACGAAGTCTTACTGGTCCAATGGAAATGATTGAGAAGAGGTGAAGTTTGGAGCTTAAAACTTTCCCTAAGACTATGGAGCACTAGTTACTGCACCCTGTTATTGACTTTCAATCACCAGTCGGGAAAAAACATGAAAATTATAATTTAACTTCCATTTCACAAAAAATTGGGGAGATTTATTGTTAACCGGTTTAGATCGGTGGCAAAGGAGCAGCAACATACATACTACTGATTGACGTGAATAATTAAAGACTAATCTTAATAACTAGGTGGCTGTCTGACTGACTGACTGGTTTCAACATAGAACTTTGCACTGATGTGCACCAGTTCGAGACGCCACACTTCACTCAGCACACAAAGCCATGGAAGAAAGTAAAAATAAATGCAAAATAGAGACAGTAAACAGCGCGGCTGTTTCGTTCGTTTGGTCAGAGCTTATCGATGATGTGCTTAGACAGACTCGGCTCACAAACTAATAGGACTGATGACATACGTAATGCAACTAATCGTTTTCAAAATACAGAATTTTTGGTGAATTTTCACTACGGTTTACTTTGGAAACTGAGAATTTTCACATTATAATATAATCGGCTTAACACCATGAACGGTATAAAATAAGCGAAATATGCAACACCATACGCACTAAAACTAGTGGTTATCGTGAATGAACCCCAACTACTTATGTGAATCATTAGTATGTAATGTGTTACGTATTTTGCCTGCTTTCTTAGCACATTTAACAGTGCTAGGTAGCTCACACTTCCGAAGGAAAGTATAGTCGAATTACAACCCAAATTGTGTACTTCGAAAATTACTGAGTTCAATTTGTCAGATTAAAGAGAGAGGGAGGAAGCTTTGACTTTTGAGACTTTTCAGATTTCTCGACCGAAAACTAGGAAAACAATACACTCACACAATATTCTTTATTTGCAATTTACATGGTTTCAAGTGAAAATTTCACCATTGTTTGGATTGGTAACCAAAAATATTTGGGAAACATGATACCACAATTGATATCAAGGAATTGATCGAAATTACGAGGTGACATATACCACTGATCGGTATAAGTAGCTGGAAACAACTCACATTTAGCAGTAGAAACATTAAATCTATCTTAATCCGGAGTGAAAGACTGATGAACTCGACCTCAATTTAACAAAGAGACTGACCGTTATTCAGATTACTTCAATCTAGCTAGAAAAAACTACTATTGATTGCAATGAGTGACTTCCAACTATTCATACCAATCAGTAGTATATTATTTTTTATTTTATTATAGCTTGATTCCACAGCGTATTTTTGGTGCAAGTATGGAATTTTCAGCATGTGATATCGGTAGCCCAAATTTAGCAGGCCGACCATAGATATCAGGTGTGCGTCGGAGGGAGATCGAACCTCGGACCATGTGCATGGTCGGCGAGAGTCCTAACCACTGTATCACCTTGCAGTACGTTAATAATGTCTCAAATGATTTAGTTCAGTGCAACTGCATATGGCAGTAATTTACAAAGAATTCCCCTCTCACTATATTTCAAAAATTATAGATAATTATTAGACTAGTAATAATGCAGGCACTTTTGACACACAGGTACGACAGCAAGAGAGAAATAATCGTCACTCAATCCATGAACTTCAAAGTGGCGTGAAACGTATTTTGCAAGACAGTTAGTGGCAGAAATCTGTACTTAAACTGAACACAGAAAAGCAAGAGAATTGGTGATGATCACCAATTCTCTTACTGAACCCCAAACACGTTAAAACTAAGACACTTGTTATCAACTTGTTTGACAGTGTGAGTGAGAACTGGAGAGAACACCACGCTTGCCGCAGTCAAGAGGTTTGAAAAAAAATAAGTGTAGATTTCTCATAAAGGTGGTTAATTGGTAGTGACCAGGTATACGTTGTTGTAATAATTAAAGAGAATTATTTAGTCTTAAGGACATATAAATGTAATGGTAGTAATCCAATAAGCCTGAAGCCAACTTTCACGCTCTACACATGAACCTATTACTTTTTATTCTTTATCCCTTTTGACTTTGATGGAAGGAAATTCTCTTCATTCCTAAGTGTGTGTTAGCTGTCATTAGTTGTTCTACTCGATATCGGGCAGAAATAAACAACCTTCCACTGTTTGAGTGCCACGCACCGGCTTCCTAATATCATAAATTTCCCTTACAATTATAGCTTTATTATGTGGCTTAACACTTACATTTCTACCCAAGATGTCAGTGAGATGATCGGACGGAATAAACTAAGACTCTGGAAGTGATGGAAAACACGATGAATTAAAAATACCACTAGATTATAACATTGCACTAAAGATGTTTAATGATTGCATCATGAAAAAAAGAATGTCTAATTTTAAACATACCCATTAGCTCTTTGAGCAAAAGTTATCAGGCCTTTCACAGTTCGATCACCCATGAACGTGTAAGTCACTGTACTGTTAATACTTGAACGAACAAAAAATTAAAAAAAAGACATTTAACCACAATTGACATAAACAGACTTATAAATAAGATTGAAACTAGTAATTTTAATTTGGGAATAATCCAACGACATTTAAGAACAGTAGGGCAGAACAGTTATCTAGATAAATATTTGAGAATACACTGGAATAAGATTAGTGGTAAACATGACGAATGAGGAATATCCTAACATACTTACTATTTGATGGTAGGAAATCCCCTTATGTCAAACGTTTTAGCTATTCCTGTATAGACTGTAGCATCAAGTCTTGCGACTTTGATGGAAGGTTCCATATGAATAAGCAGTCTACTCATTTCTTCGTATGTACTAGTGAGACGGCGACAGAAACCACACCATGGGGCATAGAACTAAAAATATGAGTTACTCATAAAGGATAACTACCTGAACAAGCCAAGGGCCTTTATCAATAAAGTCGATAAACCTGTAAAGTTACAGATTTTCCATCTGACAAAGCCACCTACCATACCTGTTATCCAGCTCAAATACTTCACATGTGACTTGAACTGATAAGTCTAAAAAAGATAGTCGAAATTTGGAAATGAAGGAAACCTGTCAGCAGACAAAGGAGAAGGTTAAGCAAAGTAGGTACAGAATATGGTATGCCTCTGAGAAATCTGAAGCGCATTGTAAGCAGGAATCTGATTAAGCTTGTTGCGGATCAGCGTACACTAACTTGATCGCGATCTGAAAGAAAGACAAACATATCAATCCAAAAATATAAAAATATTTAGAACAGTAATATTCAAGGAGCTTGATTTAAACATGAAAGGTGTTGAATGCAAAAGTCTATACTTTCCACATTAAAAATCACTTCTATTACCCTAAGCTAACATAAAATTTTGGAAAAACATTTCCAATTGTGCTGTAATAACGAATGTTAATTAACTGTAATATCTGGGGATTTTGTTCGAAATACAACAAGCTATGCATTTGTAGCAGACAGGAACTCTCGTCCCAATACGTTATCTACTGCTACAAAACCTATCACTTCAATCAGTTGCTATATTCCTAACCTCACCTGAGTCAGGTAATACTGTACAATATTTGACATCTGAATCACACGTACGTAAGTCTGAAGTAGTTAAATTACGCTGCCTCAAAACAGACAAGAACTTAAGCCAGTTGGCCAAATTTCACATTCATAGATAGTTATCTTTAGAGTTAGATAATCACCTCGAGTATAAAAGACGAAGAAATTGCAACCGTCAGGTACGGGATATTTCATTAATACTCTATGCGTAGATACAAGCGAAATAAAAGGTACTAAGATTCCGGTGAAATGCCTCATAAACCACAATGATAAAAATGATTGGTTAACAAAAATGTTGAACAATGAGCATGCTCTGTAGGTAATGCAATCTAATGCTAAGCACCTAAAGTGAAGTGAAAAAATTAAGGAAGGCACAAAAAAGCACCTGCGGAAGAATTAATGAGGGTACCGCTGATGCACTTCGACCTCTGATGAATCTAATTGGTCGCCAGAAGTAATTTCTTTTAGGGATGCTGTAGTTTAGAGTCCCCCAAATTAAGATTGAAATGGTTTATTTTACTGCTGAAAAATGCATGGTCCAACCAAATATACGCCTACCCCCACCAAACACAGAAACACCCATCTACAGTGACGCACAGGTCAAATTCCAATATCCAATATCCAATATCGTTTTTACGAGTTAACATAAACCAATTTCATTTCTTTGTGCTCGCCTCTTGATTGTGAGGTATAGGTTCCTGATCTTCGGTGAACTTATGCGTAGTAAGCCCCGCCACTCGACTGCTTTAGCTCTGGTAGACTCCAAGAGGAGTGGTGCGAGGATTGGTCAAGATGTCGTTTGTAGTGTGCAGTTGTAGTGACCCGTTTTATTACTCATCATCGCAGTATACTTTCACGATGTAATTGGACTTTGATTTGTTTATCACTCTAAAGATTGCATGTTAACAATTGATACTTTTGTACTCGCTCGATTTTTGAATTTTGATTGCTGCAATAATACACTATCGTATTCCTTCGCAAGTGCCTTTTGAATTGCGTTGTGGATGTCGAGTAATCGCAACGTTAGGACACAATTATAAACGCGAAGAAGTACTAAGATATACGTGTACGCTAGTTTAGTCAAAATATAGCAGCACAACACAGTATGTTAGGACTCAGCTGCTGCCGTGAATGGAGTTTGACCTAACACCCGTTGGTCATTCGGTGTAGTCATAAAAGCAGAATAATAATAATAACAATAGGTTGTAGTGTAGATAATGTAGGTTGAGATAAGTGAAATAATACAGCTGAAATAATAAAGAAAGAAATGAAAAGATAGAGTAGTCGGTACAGTGAGAGAAGACAGGGCGGGTCGTGGGGATTTAGCTAGTATGCTTGTCCATTGACAGTGTGGTTTCAAATTTTAAGAGGATAAGCCATTGAGACAAACCATGCATTTCTGCATGATTGTCCAGCTTCCGCTTGAAAGTCTCCACAGATGGCGCTGTAGTCATGGCCGCCGGTAAAGCGTTCCAGAGACGGCAAACTCGAAGCGAGAAGAAATGTGAACGCACTCGAGTCTTGGGTCTCTGGTGTGCTATCCTTAGCGGGTTACCTCGTGGAAGCTTATAATCACTTAATCACAGGATGCTTTTATTAGGGTAGGCTTGGTCATTTAAGATCTTATAGACGGTGATGAGGTCTCCCCTGTGACTACGGAAACTAAGTGTGAAAAGACTTAATTTCTTCAGTCTTTCCTCATATGATTTGTTGCGGAGGCCGATCACCCACTTTGTCGCTCGTCTCTGGACACTTTCTAGAATGTTAGCATCCCTTTTGAGTAGCGGAGGAGCAATGATATTATGCACCTCAAGGAGTGGCCTTACGTATGTCGTATACAACCTTAAGAATAGTTTGGGAGTAAGAGCTCCCAGCTGCCTATGCATAAAGTGTAAGGTTGCGTAAGCTTTGGCGACGTCCCTCGTGTAATTTACACTGGTGTCTTGCTTTTCTGTTAAAATAAGACCTAGGTTGCGTTCTGATGGCACACAGCTCAAGTTCTGGCCACCAAGGGTGTAATTTACACACTGTGACCTACCTTCTTTGCACTTCTTTAGGTTGAAAGGCATTCCGTTAGCCAGAGGCCAGTCTCCCAGAGTTTGCAGGTCAGCCTGCAATCTGTCTGAGTCTTCCGATGAATTTATTGCTCTCCAAATCTTTACGTCGTCAGCGTAAAGAAGCGCAGAGCAGTTCAGTTGTCAGGGCAGGTCGTTGATAAAAATCAAAAACATCAACGGCCGTAGCTTTGGTTGGCTCCAAAAAGAGCAGTGCAGGGATTAATTATATGTGGTTTGTAGTATGAGGTGTGTTAAGACTGTTACTACTGTGAATGGAGTTGATCCTTTCAACAGTTAGTCCTCCGGTATCGTCGTCAAAAGAAAAGAGATAGTAATAATAATAGATATAAATAGTGAGGTTATTCAGACTAACAGACAGAAAAAGAAATAAAAAAACGTAACAGCAGTCAGCTGATTAAATTTGAAGAATAATATGAATTATATATATACATATGAGTAATAATGATGATAATAATAAGTGTAGTTAAAGTTGTCAGGAAAGTAAGACGGGAGAGAATGCAAAGAAGTAAAGCGACGCACTTAGTTGTCTATCTCTGAATGGTATATGGGATTTTAAGGGGATAGGTCATTTGGATGCAGTCCTTTTGTCGCTGCATGATTGTCCAGCCTTAGCTTATATGTGTCCACAGACAGTGCCACAACTACATCTGTTGGTAAGGAAATCCAGGGACGGCAAACCAGCAGTGAAAAGAAGTGGGAGTGCATCCGAGTCCTTGCCCTCTTGTGAGCTATCCTTCTGGGATTTCCACGAGAGAGCCTATGCCTACTCAATGGCAGAACACCTTTGTTTGGGTGATTCTGGTCATTTTTTATTTTGTGTGCAGTAATTATATCCCCCCTAAGCTGACGGTAGCTAAGTGTGAATAAACATAATTTCTTCAGCCTTTCATCATATGGTTTGTTTCGGAGACCAACCACTCCTTTTGTTACCCGTCGTTGGACTCTTTCTATAATAATAATAATTTATATTTTCATATAAACATAAATTTACATGAAAATGCATGCCATTTTTACAGGCACGATCAAGTATGATATAATGTCGAATAGTAGATTGTCTACAAGTTTATGTTTGAACAGCCATGTCGTATCTAAGAGGTCGGCAGTGGGGGTGCAATAATATTATGCACTTCAAGGTGTGGTCTGACGTATGTTTTGTACAACCTTAGAAAGAGCTCAGGAGTGCACCTAACTGTCTATGTACAAAGTGTATGACCGCATATGCCCTCGCTAAGTCCCCCGTGTAATTTGCGCTTGTTTCTATTTTCCCATTAGAACTAGAACTAGGTCGCGTTCCGACGTTGTTCAGGACAAGGTTTCAGTGCACAGGGTGTAACTTGCGTTCTGCAGTCTACAGGTGCGTAACCTCACTACTTTGCACTTTTTCAGGTTGAAAGTCATGCCACTGGCCACTACCCAGTCTTCAAGAAGGTTTAGATCTTCCTGCAACCTATCTGAGTCCTCCGGGCACTTTATCGCCCTCCATATCTTTACGCCGTTAGCGTATAGAAGAGTCGAGCAGCTTAGGTGGCATGGTAGATCATAGATAAAAATCAAAAACATCAGTGGTTCTAGGATGGAACCCTGCGACACTCCTGATGACGAGTTGTGCCAAGATGATCGGACTCCATTGAACTTAGTGCAAAATTGCCTTTCAGCTAGGTAGTCTGTCAAGGAACATGAACATTGAACGTTGGTTCATTGACCTTGGTCACCATTGGCGGGCAACTCGAAGGCGCAAATGGCTCGATCGCGTGCAGGACGGCAGAAGAACACGAATAAAAGTACTTTATAACTTCATTTGTACTAAACATTTGTTTGTAGACCTGTATTTTATCTTGCTTTAATTGCCGAACAATATAAATTCGTTCAAAGAATACTGGTGTTTTGGAGTTGAAGTCGGGAAAATACATAGTCATTATCGGTTCAAAGCGTCTTCATTACAATAGGAACTTAGGGATAAGTTCCTTGACATAGTCCTTTAACCATGACCTTACCTTACTTTAACCATGGCTTACCTATGTAACGACACAAGGCAAGAGTCAGTTTGTTTGTTAATGAAATCAACACATTTATAGATTTTCGTGTACATTATTATAGATTATTGTTAGCCCACGAACACAGTTTTCTGATTGGTTGTTTCTCACTAAAAGTCAATCTTTCATCTCTTTGTTGCTGTCTCTTGAGTGTCAGATTATCTATCTGCTAATTGTATCCGCCTACGCAAAGTCTGCTGTCCGTCTATGATCTTGTTTTCACATGACTTATATTTGAGACATAAACATTGACGTCGATTACTGTCTACCGATTTGGCTAGCACCCATCTCTCACCACACGTATACCTACCTGGCTTATTGTGTGTAGGAGAAGATCATGTTGAACGGTGTCAAATGCCTTCCAAAAGTCTAGGAAGACTACATGGACTGGGACATTCATATCCCAGCATGATGTCCAATCGTCCTAAGCTGACAGTAGGTTTGTTGCGCAGGATCTACCTTTTCTGAAAACATGTAGTACATTAGTCCCATGGAGGTACTCCCTGATGTGATCGTCAGTATTACTTTCCAGTACTTTTGATACCACTGGGAGTACAGCTACTGATCTATAACTAGTGACATTTTGCCTATCCCCACACTTGAAGATCGGAGGAAGGATGGCTCTTTCCCACTCCTTCGGCAGTCTCCTCGAACCCACCGAGTGTTGAAACAAGTGGAATAAGGGCACACTGTTTCGGGACAGATAGCCTGATATCGTCACAACTTGGGGACTTCTCAGGTGTGGGTCGCTGTAGCTTCCTTAGTACCATTGCCAGGTCTATTTGGGGAGTAGCCACTAGGTCTTCCTCCTGTGAAATAGTAGTGCCACCATTTTGGTCGGTGACGGTAATACCCACATTACCGCTTAGCTGTTTGGCGAAGGCTGAACTGAATGTTTCAGCCATCTCCAGACTAGTGAGATATTGACCGTTTAGGCCTACTTAGGCGCATGCTGCCTGGTTGGTTGATTTTCTTTCCTACATGACTCGATACAAGGTTTCGGGATTTGCTAGGAGTTTTTTGGCAGGGTTAACCAGGAATGTCCTCCTGTCACTCCTGACTCTCGCGTTGTACCGGTTCCTGAGTTCCAGGTATGCATCATGGTCGATCTGCGGCGGTGGCACAGTGGTTAGGACTCTCGCCGACCATGCACATGGTACGGGGTTCGATCCCCTGCCGGCGCACACCCGATATCTATGGTCAGCCTGAATTTGGGCTACCGATATCCATGCTGAAAATTCCACACTTGTACTGAAAATATGGTGTGGAATCAAGCTGTAAATCAAAATAAAAAAATAAAATTAGACACACGCCACTTAAGTGAATTTAATCTGTATCACTTTTAGGAATGTCCAGTCGTAATGAGGCCTGTCAGTTAGTTGAATTCAGTGCAAGCAGGCAAAGACATCCGAAAAACATTGACGGGTGTTTTCAGATTTATGACCAGATACATTTGCATAATCAGTTGTAGG